ATATTGTCGATAAATGGTTTAAATATTTATTTTATTACACGGAGTATTTTCGAAAATTGATCCAAATCAGATGTTACGTTATCCCAAAAATCTAAATTACGATTTTTGTCACTTTTTGCCCCGTGTCTTCGAAAGAGCTATATGAGCCTTTGCCAAAAACTAATCAGCACGTCTTCCTATTAATAGGAATAGAATGTTATTTGAATCCTTCAAATCGGTTTATCTGTGCGCCCGAAATCGTCGACGAAAATTTGTATCCGAACACACACACATATGTACATTAATTTTTTACAAGATATGTCAAAATGTTCAGAAACCACTGAAACGTGAAGATATGGAAAAAATTTCATTTTCGATTTTTGGGGCGATTACTAGAACTTACCTTACGGTTAAGTTGAAATAATCTAAACAGCTAAATCTCATTTTTTTATAGATTTTCGATTTGTCATTACATTAAAGTTGATTATTTTCCTTAAGGCAAAATGCCCCTTACACCTTATTTTATTCATAAACTAAATTTCCATAATCGTTTCTAAAAATAAGTCACATGGCGGTAATACAACCTTATCGATATTACGTTTTACGTATGGCGCTTAATCTTATCTTATCTTATCTTTATTGACATTTAATCCCACTAATTCAAGAATATTTTGATTACTTATATTATTATTATTGAGTTAGATAATTAAAAACGAGTAACAAGTGCGATAAATAAAACGAATTGCTAGAAAGTCATAATTTATTCGCACAATGTAATCGATCACGATAATTGGGTTGATATCGATGTATGGGTCATCGATATACATATTATAAACATACACATATATATATATATATATATATATATATAAAGATATGATTAAGTGTATAAATTGTTTTGTCATGGAGTTGTGAGCAAGGAGATTAAGCATCAAAATTTTATTCCGCCGGCGACCGTTTTCTCCTCTTTCGTCACGGCATCGACATCGATATTTAGATTGATGATATCGATATATATTATCATTATTATTTGTTTGATTTCCTGAAAGAAAATATTCAAGTCATTCTGAATCGTTTGAGACCAAAATTTGAAAAAGTATGCGTGTGTATGTGAGACAATTTTGGACCTTTCGTTGATGTTTTCTCAATAACGGCCAAAAAAATGTATTGATGAAACTCGATAAGTACTCTTGATGGCTAGTTTTTTGAGACTATCGGCCAAGCCGTTTTTTTATAATTAACAGATTAGTGCAAAATGTTTAATGTACATTTTCACAAAAAAAAAAATGAACCGACATCCTCTTGAAAAATCGAAGTACGGGGCAAAAAGTGCCATAATTGGTATTTTAGTTTTTAAGAGAACGGAGCGACCGATTTTAATAATTCAAAAAACAATTTACTTGTATTGACGAACAACTGGTGAAATTTTTGTAAAGGCAAGTCCAGCGTCTCCGGAGATCTAACAAAAAAAAAAACAATGCCATTTGGCGGTCAAAAATGAACATTAGACATATGCACATCGTATTATCAGATATTTCATAAAGATTACAATAATAAGTACACATTTTGTGTACATTTATATAGGGTCCGTACCAATGTTTAAACTTTAGACGTCTACGCGGCGCTTATGCGCTTCGATATTTCGACTCTAAAACAACTATGCAGTGCGATTACCTTAAAAAATGTTCAAAATTTTCAAAAAAAACAAAATACAAAAAAATCTAATTTTTCAAAAACAGTGAATTGAAAATATCAAAATCTCTCAAAAATTTAATTTTTTCAAAGTTTTGAACGTTTTTTTTTTTAAATTCAGTTGTCCGTACCGGAAGTTCCAGCAATTTGCCTTAAGGCACGATCCCTTACATCACTAGTTTCATTAAATTCTTTGGCCTAATTAGTTTTTTTAACGACCAGTACCTCCCTGTTTCTATCGATTTTCAGAACGAACTGACCTGTATCTCTTATTTATAGGTTTTTATAAATGGGACGCCAGCAGAAAGAATTTTTGTTGCATTGTAAAGACACAGTTTTTGTTTTAAATTATGAGCAGAAAATAGTTTATTTAATTCATTTGGATTATTTTCTAATTTCGCCATTTTCTACTTTTTCTGATTTTAATTGTCGTTCCAGATTTATAATGGTTGGAAGTCATGAGAGTCTTTCCGATTCGAGGGATTCACTTTTACTGCAATTTTAAATTCAATTACACTTTAAATTAGATAAATAAATATATATATATATATATATATATATATATATATATAAAATTCTTCTATAATGATGTGTATAAGGATACTCCTCCTAAACGATAATTCGGATTTTGATAAATCTTTCTGAAGTTTAATAAGGGAATTTTTTAGGATGTAAATGATTTTAAAAATACAGTAATCATGTGGAAATAAATGAAAAAAATGCAAAAAACAACATATAATTGTTTGACATTAAAAATAGTTTGACAAAGGAGAACTGTCACCAGCCAGATATTTCAATTCACTCACGAGCCTAGACAATATTAGAATATTGCCTAGGCTCATGAAATATTAAAAAATATAATTATAATTATGAGTGAGAAAAATGTTATATGACAATATTATAGCCGAAAAGCAGATGAGATATGCCAGAAATTAAAATATTATAAGATACAGTATATGTGTTTGGCAGATGAAATTATATTATTCAATTTGATAGATTATTTTTTTAACTAATGCAGTCGTGTTTTGCCTTACTTTACTAAATCTTAATACAAAAAAATTTCTTATTTAAAAAAAATATTTAGAAGTTTCATTGCACCAAAAAATCTTTTGTTTGGTATTTGATTTGAAATATTTATTTTTTTGATCGTAGATTGAACAGTGCACATACGAACAGGATTTGAAAAATTAATTCACTTAAAATATGAAGTAATGTTTTTTTTAATCATTCGATTCGGGTGCTTTGATCTTTCAAAACCTGCTATTTTTTGCACATTTAGCTCTGTATCTTCGAAATGGCTGGACTTGTCTTTGCCAAAAACTAATCACCACTTTCCCCTGTCATCACAAATTGAATGTTTTTTGTATCATTCAAATCGGATGCTCCTTTCTCTCAAAAACTCGATTTGTATTTTCTCCACTCTTTGCACCGTATCTCTGAAACAGCTGGACCTGCCTTTGCCAAAAACTAATCAGCACATCTCCCTATCAATAGGAATCGAATGTTTTTGAACAAATACTAAAATAGTTTATAAAAAACTGCAAATTATTCGCAATTGATTTATAACCATTATCCAATCTTTTATTGGACATGCTGCAACTTCAAAAATTCTACAAAAAATTAATCCCATATAAAAACAGCTACTTTAAATATGTTTTTTTTTCTCAAAAAATATAAATGGTATGTTTAATATTTTTTTAGTGTTTTCCCACCTTTTGTAATCTGGTACAGATATTAAAGTATTTCCCAATCTCTTTTGAATATGTATGCCCTCACTTTAACATTTATACAAAAAATTGCCCTCATACTGCAGCCTTTAAAAATATTTTCATTTCCTTAGAAACTAGCTGTAAGTGGAATTCTGTCTTAAGGCAATTAGGGCATCGTGCCTTAAGGCAAATTGCTGGAACTTCCCGTACCAAAAATTATTATTTTTTTTAAAAACGATTAACATTTTTGAAAAAAATTTACTTCGAAAAAATAAGATTTTAAACTATAAATTGGACAAAAAATTACTTTTTTTTGAAAAAAAAAATTTTTTTTTTTTTAAATTTTTTTTTTAAAAAAATTTTAAAAAAAAATTTTTTTTTTGAAAAAAAAATGTTTTCTTTATTTTGACATATTTTGGAAGATCTAAACTTGTTTTTCAAAGCAATCGTACTGCTTTAACAGCATAGAGACAAAATATAAAGCGCGTAAGCGCGGCGTCGCTGTCTAACGGGTAAACATTGGTACGGAACCCATAGGAAAATAAACAAAATTTATACTTATTGTTAAAATCTCTATAAAATATCTGAAAATTTGATGTGCATATGTCTAATGATCATTTTTGACCGCCAAATGGCATTTTTTTTTACTTTTTTCGTTAGATCTCCGAAACCGCTAGACCTGCCTTTATGAAAATTTGATCAATTCTTTATCTTGTCAATACAAGTTGAATGTTTTTTGAATTATCAAAATCGGACGCTCCGTTCGCTTAAAAACTGAGTTACCGTTTTCGGCACTTTTTGCCCCGTATCTCCGGAACGGCTAGACCTGCCTTCGCCAAAAACTAATCAGCACGTCTTCTTATCAATACGAATCGAATGTTTTTTGAATTATTCAAATCGGTTGATTCGTGTTCCCGAAATCGTCGACGAAAATTTGTATCCGCACATACATACACACACATACATACATACACACACACATACACACACACACACACATACATCCATTTTTTCTAAGGTATGCCAAAATGTTCAGAAACCTCTGAAACGTAAAGATATATAAAAATTTTCATTTTCGATTTTTTTGCGATTACTATAACTTACCCTACGGGAAGTTAACAAGTGATAAGTCTTAAATTCCCCCTGTGAGCCCCACGTTGGACAACACTGTTCTAGATTATTCTTTATCCTCAGTTTGTATATTATTCTGTTCGGAGGCCTAAATATAATTTTACTCAATGTGCCCCCATTAAAGAAGACGTAGAAGAAGTGTTATACAATAGTGTAATAGTGGAGCACCCTGGTGTTTGTTTTAGTAATTAACACTAATTGAAATATACATTTTCGGACGTCACGTATGCAAATGTTACATTAGAACGTTTTTGGAAATATATTTGAATAAATTTTGAAGATACTTATCGATTTAAATAAGGTGAGATCATGTTGGAAATAATTATTAGAGGCTTGTGCAAATATATACAATAGGTTAAAAGTTGACACATTTGTATAGAACCCTAACTAATCCCTAAATAGCATAAAATCTATTTCTGGTTAATCACTTCCTCTAGTTACTATATGCGTTACAACAAATACTAAATTATCCGCTATCTCCTCCCTTACCTTTGTTCAGCAGCAGATTCCTGATGACTCGGAAGTACAAAGCACCATACTTGTTCCTGGCGATGTGGTACAAAAAGTCAGGATACTCTCCGTAACACTCTCTGCAATAATCCTCACTTAAAATTTCAATCCAACCTTGCACTTCCTCACTTTTGGCACCAGATCCTGATTCCTGATCAACAGCAGAATCCAGGTATGTCTCGACTTTTCCAAATTCTTGCGGCTTGGTCGGTGAGAATTTGGTTGAAACTCCTGGATGAGGATAGTCTTCAGATAGAAGATCGATATTGGATTGGAAGTCTGTGCGTTGTCTAGATACTCCTGGAGAAAACTTAATTGTGGCAGTGTCCAAATTAGCACAGTATAGATTTTGTTTAAAACCACGTGCTGGTTTTGGGGTCCTGGGTGCTTCTTGTGAAAACTTGTTTGGCGTAGATGATGCCAAACTTGAACCAAAACTCAAATTCACCTCGTCTTGTGGTCGTGTGTCTACAAAAGTAGATTCTTCTCCAATGGCAGACAAACCAATGGCAGTTTCGTCTAAATTTACGCTTATTTTTGAAGATGTAGACAAACCAATAGATGATTCAACACCCAAATACTGGTTACCCAATCCAGGGCCAGTAAAATCAACTACATCACTGTCAATATTACCCTTATCCTCCTCAATTTCAGCACAAAAGTTATAATCCAGAGTTGGGGATTGCCAGATTTCCTCCAAATTTTCACTGTTGACCTTGATTTCTGATGAATCTGGTAAATCCTTATGCAGGTTCTCACTTAATTTTAAATTTTGTTTTTTCCTGTTTCCTAATTGGGTACTTTTAAGGCGTTCATGTTCTTCGTGATTATTTTTGTCCATTTCACACAATTCTTTTAGTTTCACATGATCACTAATTTAATGTTCAGATAACTGAAGTAGATAATGGATTTGTTTAGATAAAAGATGATTGAGACTATTTTTTGGCCCTAATGGACGATTTTAGGTACTGCTGGTAATTTTAGGTCGAATGTCTCCAAAACAAAGAGTCGTAGGGTCCAAGAATTTATGAATTTTATAAGAAAGATATTTACGATTCTGAATCAAGTGTTTACTACGAAGAAAGGTTTCGAATGATTATGAATAAATTCGATAAGATTACAAAATTAATTACAATATCAGTACCAAGACTCTTGATGCTGCTCTTGTGATTAATTTTTTGAATGCTATTGTAATTAATTTTTAAATTGCTATTGTAATTATTTTTGAAATTTTTGTCTTTTGTGTACTAAAAATAATTATCATAGGCTTGTGAGAATAAAAAAATAGCAAAAATCTTATTTTATTAAATTATAAGCAAATAGATGAATAAAATCACGTAAAATTAATTAATGCACAAATAATCAAATAAGATTAGTTAAAAATATTTTTTATAAAAACAAGATAAGATTAAAAATAAGATAACATTAGTTAAAACTAATTACCACAGGCTGGTAGAAATAAATAAAATGAGCACAAATAATTATTACAGTCTTATGCAAATTATTTAAGAAAAATGATTTCATCATATCGATCCATAAATCTATTTTCTTTAACAATAATATATGTGCGTATGTATATATTTATTATAATTATTTCATTTCGAAACGAAACAATTGTTATATAATAAAAACAATTCATGTAACAATTTCTTGTTTATTACACGAGAAAAACAAATGGAATAAATTAAAATGGCGTGGAAATGAGAGAAAAGGACAAGGATATATAGAAAGAGAGAGATAGAGTGAGAAGATAGAAGATAGAGAAGGACAGAAGAAAATAGAGAGAAGATGATGAAAAGTTTGTGAAGAGGGAGTAACAAAGACAAGAAATAAAAAGATTAGAAAATGAAAAAATGAGAATGCGTTTACAGGGAACTGAAAGTAATGAAGAACAGAGTTGAAATACTTGATGAGGATTGTTGAGTATCATGGACCTGTCTCCAGCATTATATACATATACTAGCTGACCCAGTAATCGTTGTTTTGCCATATAAAATAGGGGTGAAAAAAAATAATAAAAATAAAAAGTTTTTCGAAGTAAAAAGAGTTCTATGTACTTTTCAATTTCGAATTATAGAAAATTAAAATAAATAAAATTGGTCCTATAATAAGGAGTTGCCCGAAGTTAGGTGTGGACAACCTTTGATAAAAATAAATTGAATTTCGAAGTAAAATTTAGGCTTTTTCGTTAAGCTCAAAAATCTGAACTAAAATGGTCGATGATAAAAAATGGTTGAAATACTTAAATGGCTATAGAACAATAAGGGTTGGTGATAAATAAGTAAAATTTTAGAGTTTTCAAAACAATGAATTTTGTCTAATAATTTGAAAAAGTTAGAGTGAACAATCCTTATAACTTAGGGATTTGAAAAATGCATAGTTACCGATTCTCAGACCTACTGAATACGCGTATAAAATTTGGTAAGAATCGGTAAAGCCGTTTCGAAGGAGTACGGGAACAAACTTTGTGACACGAGAATATTAAGATAAAAAAGAAGAAAGAAGTAGAAAGAAAAGAAAAGATATATATCTATAAGAAAGAGCAGAAAGGCAAAAAAAATATAGGAAAAAAAGAGATAAAGGCAGCGATGATAGTAAAATATGAAGAGAATAAAAACAAAAGAGAAAGAGAAAAATAGTGTAAAAGAAGAAAAAAAAACAGTGATATAAAAAATATAAAGGAAACAGGAAGTAGAAAGAAAAAAAAGACAAAAATGAAGATAAGGACGAAGAAATAAAGATAGAAATGAAGGAAACAGGAAGTAGAAAGAAGGAAATAGACAAAAATGATGTTAAAAACAAAGAAATAAACATAAAAATGAAGGAAACCGGAAGTAGAAAGAAAGAAAAAGAGAAAAATGAATATAAAGACAGTATTATAAAAACATGAAAAATATAGAAAGAGAAAACGGTAAAGAACAAGTGATATGGAAGAGAAAGAAAATGGAAAAATGAAAAAGAAAAAGTAAAATGAGAAAAATATTTAAACGAAAATTTAAAAGTTCGAAAAGTAGAAAATGAAAGAAGAGTAGAGAGAAGTTCTAAAACTTTTTTTTCACAAATTCTCGAACTTGTATGTAGCGCACACAGTGTTGTATGTGCATGAGAATAAAATCCATGATTATTACATTACAGATTGAAAGATTAAAAAACCTTATAAAAAATTCAAGAATTTAAATACATCAGGCCTTAATCCATGAATCTTAACCTACAAACGTTAATGAAATTTCATTTAAGGTTAGTTTCACTACGTTTGTTATATTATTTATAGCCGTCGCCAATTGTTTGTGCAGTTATTTAATTATCGTTCTTTATTGTTTTTATATTATCATTAAGAAATAAAAAAATCCGTTATTGGAGAAACATTATTACAACCGATGAAACAAATCGCGAAGCAAGTCACGTATGGAGGAAGTCGAGGTAATAATTAGTGTTTAAGAAAAAATGAAAAAAAATGTATTATAACTTTGATAATTATTGAAAGTATGGCTGCTCCGCTAAGAACAGAGACACGGACTCTGAGGTAAAATTCACATAATATATAATGAATGGGCATACTAAAAAGAATGTATATTGCATGTAGGAAACTGGGGTGGACTCGTATTGGAAAAATAATATTTGTCCCATGATGGTATAAAACTTCTTAAAAAGACTAGGGCAGAGTAGAATACCCATTTTTCTACGCAAAAAAATTCAGGGAACTGAAAAAAAGACAGAGGAGGCGCACTGAGAAAGAGCAACCAAAAATGTAAACAGATATAGTAAAAAGGCAACAAATGTGGCGCATGAAAATCTTCTTGAACCGATTTGGACAGTTTTACTTTTGAAAAATTTGTGCTAATCCAGAGATTTAATTTTAATTTAATTTATTAATATTCTATTATACATATAATAGATACTGACTTTAAAATTATTTTATAAAATTCGACTGCAATTTCACACCTCAGCAGAACAACACGACGACCCGGTACATTTTAGTGCCGGGTCGACGCACCATTGCTTTGTCTGCAAAACGCAGATTGTGCAAACGGTGAGAAATTATTTCAAAACCGCGTAGAAACATTACATTATTAATTTAAAATTTTTCATAGTAGCGAAATTTAAGAAGAAACAGAGAAGAAAAATAATATAAGATACAGAGGGCAACTCATACGTCAAATGTCAAATGGTTTTGACAGATTATGTTTAACAAATATTTTTTTGACACATGAAACAAAATTCTAAATCATTTTTAATAAGTAGAAATATTCTTTATTGTTAAATAATTTAGTAAAGTAAACCAAAATGTGACATGCATAAGTTTAAAAAAATAATGTATATGCAATTTTGGACTTGTTGCGTTATTTATTAAACTGAATTATATAATTTCATCTGCCAACATATAGTGTTGACTGTATCTTATAATATTTCAATTCTGGCACATCTCAGCTGCTTTTTGACAATAATAATGTAGACATTACATTTTTATTGCATATTATATTTTAATATTATCTAGGCTCATAATTACAGCTAAATTCAAATTTCTAGCTAATTACAGTTAATTGACATTTCTAGCAGATGACAGTTCAAATGTTGAATGATAAGTGTTTTTTTGTAATTTTTGCCATTTATTTCTACAATATTACTATAGTTTTATCGTTCATTAAATCTTAGAAATTTCCTTTGACAAACTCTAAAAAGATTTATCAAACCCGAATAACCGTTTAGGAGAAGTATCAAACCATACACCCATACAGAAGAATTTTACATATAAGATATATATTATGATAATTATGTTATAATTAGCATATTTTACATAAAGAACCACATAATTAAAAACGTTACATAAAGAACGAAACAAAATGGTGAGAAAATTACAGAATGGATAATTGAGGTTAGAAAGATGTTTCTAATTATTCTCTTGTGGTTATCTCATTAGGCAAGAAATCATTTTATAACAAACTTTTACCTTTAAAAATAATAAAAGTGAGAAAAATAATTGCATAAGCATACATTTCATTTACAATAACAAGAAAAAAATCGAGGAAACCGACACTTTGCGACGACTATCGACATCGTGTCGATCCTGGTGCAAAACCTTGCTAAGGCGATAGTTGCGCCATCATACGAGTGAGTATCGCAACTTGTGGAAGTCGAATACATTTATATAAATCTATATTTTTTTCTCCAATGTCATTTTTTGTACTTAACTCATATTATTTCTTAATTCGCAAACCGACACTTTACGACCACTATCGACATCGTATCGATCCTGGTTTAAAACCTTGCTAAGGCGATAGCTGCGCCATCATACGAGTGAGTATCGCAACTTGTGGAAGTCGAATACATTTATATAAATCTATATTTTTTTCTCCAATGTCATTTTTTGTACTTAACTCATATTATTTCTTAATTCGCAAACCGACACTTTACGAC